AAAGTATAGAAACCCTTAGAAAATAAACTCCTACTTGAAGGAAACAATAAACGAGAAAAAAAAGTGTTGCTTTATTAGAGATTTAAAGTAGACATTACAATAAACTAGTCTAGTTTTTCTTAGTCAGTGAGTTGCTTTTGCTTCTTGCCGCTGTGTTGCTTCCGCTTAGCAAACTGCAAAAGACTACGTACTGTATATGCCATCTGTCTAAGATTTTGCAGTGTAGGGCATATCAGAGCAATTTTATATGCAGAGGAAAAACATCCACATCATTCTTCATCAGAGTGAATCAGTTCTTGTTCTTTGAAAGCTTCTATCTGAAGCACCATAGTACAGCACTAACATTCAGGCTGGTATCTCTGCATTGTTGGTTGAAAGATATTAGAAAGATATATCACTCAGCAGTGTTGGAAAAGATTGAATGTGTGAGCACCACAAGAGAATATATGTAAGGGCATGTTTATATTGTGAGATTAGAACATAGCTGTTGCTGCATGTTTGCTAATATCTTTGTAAATACTTTTTGCGGAACTTAGGGAGACAAGGTAGGTGAGGCAACTTCCGTTGGTGAAAAAGACAAGCTTTCTAGCTTGCGCAGAACTTTTCTTCAGGTCTGGGAGAGCTATTCAGTGTCACAGCTAAATACAAGTTGGAACAGATTATTTAGCTTAAGGAGGTAACACATATTGCAAGAGACTTTTTAAGGGGACGTAGGTAGTTAACACCTCTGCAGTCATAGGACAAAGGAGGGTTAATGGGTTATAGATTGTTGTAATGAATCGTAAATCCAGTGTCTTTGTGTCCATGATTTGTAGTGTCTAGTAAAGTTATGAATTTAAGCTTCCAGTCTCGACTTTTGAAGGCATTGTGCAGGTTTCCATTGAGGATGAGGACTGAGAGGTCAGGAAGAGTGATCACTTTGTCAAATGTGTTTGCAGGTGATAGTGTTGTCTTTTGTCGTTTTTCTATGTGAGTTCATTTGAGAGGGTAATGGGTGTATTGTATTCCTCCACATAGTTGTTACTGAGGCATTTAGTGCACTGGATGAGGTATACCACACGTTGTAATGGGCATGTGTAGGACCAATGGATCTTGAAAGGTGTATTGTGGGATGTATTGATTATCATAGCAGTGGAGAGGTGTCTGCAGGTTTTGCATCTGATGTTCTGGCAGGGTCTGGTGCCACTTCGATTTGGTGGGCCCTGAACTGTGGGGAGCTTGCTTCTGATGATGAGCATGGCAAGATTGGGGGGTTGTTCAAAGGCCAGTGGAAGGGGTATGGGAAAGATTTCTTTCAGGATGTGGTCCCCATTGAGTATGGGTCGTAATTATTTAATGATACCCCATATGGGTTGCAAAGTGGGGTGGTAGGTGACAACTAGAGATGTGTGATCAGAGGGTTTTTTTCCTGTATTGAAGCATGTTCTCTGAATATTTGGGTGTTCCATTCCAGGATGCAATCTCTACTCTGGTGGAGTATCCTTCCTTGGTGAAGGCAGTTTTAAGTGTGTTAAGGTGTATATCTTAGTTTCTTTTCTGTGTGCCTGACTATAGATGAGATTGCTTTGTGTGTCTGGGGTTGTTGCTGGATTTGTGAGGGTACATGTGGTGATCTGAAGGTTTCTTGTATATAGTTGTCTGTAGAGTTCCATTAAGTTGTGTCCAGGAAGTTGATGCTAGTGTAGCAGTTTTCTAGAGAGAATTTAATGGTTGAGTAGTGGTTGTTGAAGTTGTGGTGGAAATCTGTTAAGGAGTTTAGGTTGTCTGTCCAGAGGATGAAAATATCAGCATATCTCAGGGTTTGGACAAAGTGTTTGTTGAATGTAAAATTATGGGTGAGGATGAATTGGATGAGCTTGGCAATGTATTTCGGGTGGATATCTGAGTGTTGTCTGTTGTCTTGTAGATATTTAAGGCAGGCAGTGATGCTGTCATTGTGAAGGATGTTGGTGTATAGGGAGGTGACATCCATGGTGGCAAGACGGTTAATCTGAAGGAGGTTGTTGATGTTAGTTGTATTTTTGGAGGAAACTGGCCCTTTGTGTGGGGAATGGTTTGAAGATGGTTTCTAGGAGTCCCAAAATGTTCGAATACATAATTTTTTGTGTGTGTTTTGTATGCGTGACTTCTGTCTGGAATGTCTACCAAAGTCTTGATAACACCGAGAAAGGTGATCCTACTTAATATGGGGAAAAGAGTTGCTCCCAACAAAACACTTTGACAGAAATAGCTTAAGTCCTGTGTTGTTTGGCTGATTATTAGCACACCTGTTACGCAGTTACCTAAGTGACCAGGATGCTACAGCTAGTACTCTGTCAAAAAAATTGGACAAAATGTTTATTACCTAGTTATTTGGCAATAGAACTTTGTAAACTAGCTAGTTGATCAAGTAAGGAAACTAACTTCAACTTAGTCTTCACAAACAGCAGCACATAGCAAACCAGCGTTTTATAAAAACAAATGTAATTTCCTTTTACAGTTAAGAGAAGCGACCATACAAGAGTTTGTCACTTTTTTTTCTCCTTGGATTGGTCTGAGATACTACAATGTTAAGTTCAGTACAAGAATAGGCATATAAAAAGGAATCAAGATGTCGGGGGCAATCACAGGCAGGCTGCAACTTAGGTCTTGTCTTCAACACTAAAAAGGTGTGTGTTTCATGTTTTGTTTTGTTTTGTTTTTAACTTCATGGTAACCAAAACAGATGAGGTAAAAACGTTGTGAAGACCTGGCCACTTCAGTTTTACCATGATGTAAACTTGTTGAGATCAACCTATGGAGGAAATATGGAGCTGTTTACCTTATGATAAAACTGAAGTGTCTGTTCTTTACTGTAGTTTTTACCTCAGGATAGTTCATTCATGTTAGTTACCCTGAGGTAAAAAACACACCTTTTTTAGCAGTGAAGACAAGGCCTTAGTTTAAGTACTATAATATGATGGTTTGGTGGGCAGTGCAGCTGAACTGTGAGTTGTATCTGTATCACAATGCTGGTAAGAAAGGCCATTGTAAGTCATATAAGCAAAGAGGACAACTAGACACCAGGGCATAATTTCGTCAGTGAAGACAATCTGTAAAATAAGAGCCGGAAATGTCTTTATTTTAAAGTAAGTTAGTTTCTTAAAAACATAAAACATGTAGCAAGACCATATGTGAAGTACTTAAATGTTCTTGTGCTGTGATTTGTGTGACTATTTCTGTATGTCCACAAACAAAATTATTCTCATATATGAATCTTTGTGCACTTGACTCCTTTCCCTCTTGTTCCTTTGAGTATGTGCTTAAAGTACCTTGTAATGGGTCTGTGTGGCCCAGTCTTAATTTGCACTGGCCATTCACTTAATAAATAACAGTACAGAGCCTTTACTTCTAATTTCACTAGTGTTTATTGGCTGCCAACCTATTAGGCTACTGGAAGACTGAGACATGAGGCCTCAAGAATTGGTAATAGGAGCACAGAGCCTCTCAAATTCAGGTCAGTCATTCAATTTGCCTGGGTTGTCAGTAGTGAAAACTAATCACCATCTGATAGCTATTCAGTTGCCAATGTGAAAATGGTTGTAGGCATACATATGTTTTATTTAAAACTGTGACAGGAAACAAGACAGGAAGAAGTCTGGGAAATACTTTAGGCAGAAGCTCAGCAATGAAGCAGAGGGCAGGATAATTCTAAACATAATCTTGTGTTCCTTATTAAAGTTCATTGTTTAAAAAAAAGTGATTTCCTGTTATTGTTTTTTACCATTGTTGGATGATTATGTGCCAGAACTTCATTCATTTTGAACTAGCATAAAGAAGAAATATAAATGCCAAATTTAACTGTCCACAAGATTTTCAATCTAATTCCACAAAATAGCCTGAATGGAAGAAGTGCTTCATTAGATTTCATATCACAGAAAACAATAGCAGATCGGCTAAATGCATACATTTGAGCTACTTTATAATTAAAGCATAAAAAGCCTTTGCTTGAACAACCCAGGCATTGTGATTTATGTATCAGTAAAGAAGACTACGTAGGAAGTCTAAACAATGATCTTTCAGAAAAGCTTGAGGACCTGGCATGGCAGTAAAAAGGTCTGCAGAAAATGGGAGATGTCCACTAAGTATCTAACTCTCTAGACTGAAAAGGTAAATAATCAGGGGTAATAAAAAAAAGTTCTGAGACCCTAACACCATGTACTGTCTCCTTGGTTTGGTACTACTGAAAAAAAAGAAAACGCCAAAGCAATCCTTGGTTCGCCTATGTTGAGACTGCCAACAAGGGTGCTATCTGTGATGAGTATTCCTGTCTCTCAGAAATTGCACTAAAACCAGATCTTCTAATGCAAACTACTAGATAGTCATTGGATAGTGTAATAACTTCTGGTTGCATCCAAACTGCACAAGATCCAGATCTGGCAAGACCTGCATAACACAGGGTCTAAGACCATTGTCTGCAATCACCACAAGGTCTGTGAAGACTTTGGAGTGGGAGAAGGCTTGGAAAAAACAAACAGTGAACACCTGGATTCTCACTGATTCAAGCATTCCATGTTTAATGGGGGATCCATAATTTTATTAATGAAAAAAGTGGTCTTGGGCTTCTGAACATTTGAGAACCACTGTCCAAAAATAGAACATGTGACTAAAATGAGTTTGAAGCTTTATATCTCTGGTCTTGAAAGTACATACACACACACAACCACATCACAATAGAAAAGATTAAACTATCCATGTTAGGGTTCAATCATGCAAAACATGTAATGCTTCCTAGGAGGGGCTGAGCAGCTTTCTGCTTGCATTGTCTTTCAGTAGATTTGAGTTCACTCAGGACTGGACCCTTAAACAGCTGTTTACTGTTCAAATATTTGATAGTGAACAATAAATGGTAATAAAAATAGAACTGGAATGACACACAGACTCCTAAGCATTTTTGCATAGCTGAAGAATGTTACTGTAGGTGTGTGGTAATGAAGCTGCATGATAACCAGTGTGACTTTCAAGTGCCTCTTCTTTTTCAGTTTTGGGACCTTTGTTGCTATAGGGGTCACCCTCTTCGTGGTATTCGTAGTCACTGTCATTCTGTGCTTCACCTGTTCATGCTGCTGCTTGTATAAAACGTGTCGGAGGCCACGGCGTGAGTATTTGTTTACGTTTTTGTTAACTTTTATCTCTTTTCAGTGAAGTTTTGTTTTTAGTAAATAGCATCATTGTCAAACTAGCACAACTCCTCCTCTCCCCGTCCTTCCCACACACCATCCCGCAGAATACCAGAGGTAAGCATTTTGAGACACTTCAAACTCTGATGTAGTTATAGGAATCTCTGAATATTTTTGGACATAATTGTCTTTTCCTGTTTTCAAATGTTTTTTCTTTAGTGAGCAAAAGTTGGAATAATTGATTCCTTTAAAAATTCCTCCCTGTGGCAGTCTTCGCAAGAGAGGGGCCATGGGAACTATACCAAGGTTCAAACAGTGCAACAGTAACTGTGGTTGCAATTACTGAAAGGTCATCAGTGCCAGGAGATTAAACAAATCTTCAGAGAATGAGACTTCTTCCTCTCCATCTCTTGCTACATTAAAACAAGGAATCTTGATGATCTGTCTTTTGGATTATCACTGAAGAACAGATTATCTAAATCATTTCCTGAGCTAGTCATATTAGGTCAATTAAAACAGGAAATTTTTGTTAATGGACAAGCTGTGTTGTGTTGACTATGACTCAAAGCGTACTGTACCACTCTATAAGTCTTAACTCCTAATTTTCTATCTAGACATCCCACTAGAATTCAGTTTGAAATGGGAATTATTTTAATAATTTTCCAGAACCTAAACTTTTAAAAACCAGAATGACATGAAGTCAAAAGAATGTTTGGAATGTCTGTATTTATACTGAAAATCTGTGCTATTTTAAATACATCTATTTTATATATTAAAAGAAAAAACCCACACTTGGACCAACATGTGTGAAACTACTAGTATTGTTGACCAACTAGACAAGGGAACATTTTAATTAGAAATCTATTTTATATTTAGTTTTGACTACATTAACAAGACCACTTTAAAATCTTTAATTGTTACCTGATTCCAGCCCCGCTACAGTGCTGCTTATCAAAAACTTGAAAGTTTGCAGGGTATGAGGATAAAGTGGACTAAAAGTAGGTATGGTGGACTAAATCCTATGCTTAAAGAGGTCTTGAGTGGTATCCATGCTTCTTGAGTGGGGGGGCGGGAGGGGAGGAGGTAAAACAGGAAACAAAATGGTTGTAGTTGCTCAATTTAAAAAACAAACACGCCATTTAACTGTTGGCTATAGAGAGGAATGTATTTTACTGTGTGTAACAGGTCAGTCTCATAGCAAGCTGGCCTAGTGGTCAGGTGGTGACTCCACAGTTCTCTTCCCTCCGCTCATTCTAGATGGAACACTGTTGGGTCGTATATGGCAGGCATCTCCCTCCTATTCATCCCTTCTTATCCACCTTAGGATTCTGTCATGACAGAAGGGAGGAGAAGTAGAAGAGGGGGGACCCAGGCCCTCCCATTCCACTGAGTTCTGATCCAGGGCTATAAAGGGGTGTTACAGTGTTCTGGACCACTCTTTATGCCACCCTAAGTTACAGTTCCCCTGAGTCACTCCCTACCAGACTGTGGCTCCTCTGTTTGGAGCATGGTCACAGTCTTTGCAGTATCAGCATAGTTCTGCTGCGGAGACAACATCCCCTCCTTCAGGTCCTCTCTTGGTTTCCCAAGTCAGGAAAAAGGGGGGTAGAGTTTATGGATCACCGTTTCCACAGTGGCCTTACCAATACTGTGGTAATGCTTTCCACAACTTCTGGTACAGCCTGTAACTCCTTCCCTGCTGCCCATGGACTACCCAGGGCCCTTTTAACTGTCCCTCCACCTGGACCATGCCCTGCATCTGCTGAGGGGCAGGGTCTCTCTGGCCCAGTACTGCCCCATGTCTTGCTATGTTTTAGTATGTGGCCTGTAAAGACCATCACACAGGGTTTATGAAGTAGATGGTAAAGCTACAAGGCCAATATAAAGTGGTGGTAAGTGGCACAGTAGAGAATTCAGTCGAGTACCCTTCTTTAAGATAAACTGGGAGACAATTAATTAATGGAGTAATTGGCATATCATGTAACAAAAGCAGTAAAAATAAGTGCCTATTCAGCCAATATGCTGAGTAACAGAACTGTCTAACAAGGATCAAATGTTGTTAGTGTTAACCTATGCCAGTAATTTAGTAACAAACATGAACCATGTACTTTGCTACAAATCTCAGTTAGACAAATATGTGCCAGCATGCATTGAAGAAACAGATTTAAAAAAAAAAAAAAAAAGTCTAATGAAGTACAATAGGAACCAGTGGAAAACAATGCTCACACACGGAATTAAAAACTATCTGCCTAAAGAGAATCTAGTTAATTTCTTTGTTACCTTCTCTGCCTTAAAGTCATATGATTGGATGATGATAATCTGTTTTACAGAGGTTTGTGAGTAACTTCTCAGATGAGCTCTCAGTTTCTGAAGAGTCAAAGAATATTTTTTTCAGGCTCCTTTGTGGAGTAAAAGGAGGCGGTAAATTAACCATGTCCTGGCTCATGATGGCTCTACTCCCATGGAAGTTGATGGAAGTTTAGTCATGGACTTAAATGTGAGGGCTGGGGGTACTAGTCTCTGAATATGTTGGAGAACTCTGAACTGGGGTTTCTACCTGGTGTGAATTACAAAGGCAAATCAAACAGTGATTTCCCTTTTGGGAATAGGAAAGAACATTCAAAATATTCCATATCTTCATTACTTCTTCTGGATGTCTGCTTGACGCATCAGTAGTAAATGCATCTTACTTTTGTATGTTTATAGCTGTTGTGACCACCACAACTTCCACCACAGTGGTCCATGCACCATATCCCCAGCAGCCCGGGATACCACCTGGTTACCCAGTGGCACCCTATCAAGGATATCATCCTGTACCAGTCCAGCCACAACACGGAATGCCAGCAGCACCCTACCCAACACAGTATCCTCCACCTTATCCAACGCAAGTTTCAGGACCACCAGCCTACCATGAGACAGTGGCAGGTAAGGCCATAGCAAGGAGGGCAAACCACAATTGAAGAGAAACATCATGTTTCTTCTTTCTTACACTAAGCGCACTAGGAAGACAAATGCATTTGTAACAAATCTGTGTTAATTATACCCATGAGCACCACCAGTCTATTTGTTTAATTAATCGAATCAGAGGGGTAGCCGTGTTAGTCTGGATCTGTAAAAAGTGACAGAGTCCTGTGGCACCTTATAGACTAACAGACGTATTGGAGCATAAGCTTTCGTGGGTGAATACCCACTTCGTCAGACGCATGACTAACACTAATACTTCACAAAGGTGATCTGTTCATTTGTATTTATCCAAATAGGATTTTTAAGTAAAATAGATTAAAAATGTACCATTTGAATCCATTCTAAGGGCATGTCTACATGACAAAATTAAGTCCACCTAATTTGCAGCGGCATATAGCCACTGCAGTAAGTACATCGCTTCTGTGTGTCTACAATTTGCTCCTTGTGTCGGCAGTGCATGTGCTCACCAGGAGCACTTGCACAGACTGACCTGTCAGTGTGGGGCATTGTGGGATCACTTTTGAAATCCAGCAACAGTCGACGTAAGCAATGCAGTGTCTACATTGACACTCCGTCGACCTAACCACATCGACATTGACTCTGCATCTCTCATGGAGGTGGAATTAAGTTGGTGTAGTGGGCGAGTTACGTCAGCGGGAGCGAAATTTTAGTGTAGACACTTATAAAGGTTAATGTAAGCTGCCTTGTGTCAACCTAACTCTGTAGTGTAGACCAGGGCTATAGCTCCATGTACTATATGCGTCTCTTGCCAGTCACCACTGTTAGGATCATTTACAAATGGAAAATTACAATTTTTCTATGGAAGAAGGTTCACAGATGGCTTACAAAGGGGGCTTCAGCTTGCTTAGAGTTTAGAGGACAGATGCTCATCTTGCAAAGTGCAATTAGGCTGAAAATTCACTATAAAATATCTGTGGACCTTCCAACTAGATGGAAAGACACTTTATGTAAGTATGGATATATTTTCCTATCCTGAGTAGCATGGAAAACAAGCACACTTAGTAGCTCTTTCAAAGTACAATATTTTTAATTCAGGATGCTCAGTAAATAAAATAATTAAAGAAAAACAGCAGAAACAAAAACATCAGGAAGTGTAGAGAAAGGAGAAGAGAGAACTTGTGCTGGAACTTAGAATCGATTGGGCAGAGCTCTACAGAAAAGATGTTTCAGATGACAGAATCAGCAAAAAGCAGATTCTTCTGTACCATTCACGATGAAGTCGAGAGAGGAGGCCAGTGCTTAAAAAGAGGGAGCAATGAGTAGGAGGAGGAGAGAAGGTTTGGGAACTAGAATTAGAGTCCAAAGAGGGTCTTGAAAACAAGGAAGCCAGCCTTGAACTGGATTGTAAAATACAAGTCCTTCCAGTGGAGATGAAAGACTGAGATACTATGGTTGTGCTGCTTTGTACATAAGAGGAAGTGGGCAGCATCACTGAGCACAAGTCGGGACTTGAGGAAGCTGTAACAAAGGAATTATGATAATCATAGCAAAGGGAAATTACCCGAAAGGTAATGTCTGCTCTATGATCATCATATTTCACAATAGCTGTGTTTCCCTGGGACAATTAAACTGTTAATATTAAGGATGAGTCTGAGTGCTGGAGACAGCTTACTCAGCAACTACCCCATTACTGTGGAAGCTGTTTCTGGAAGACTTCAGAATTCCCATGAACCTCAGCACCTTCTGATAAAACAGAATGTCCACGTTGACATAACTTTATATAACACCAGCCAAAAAAGATCCTGCTGACTGGGGGATGTTAGGATATAAATATTCAGGCCTGTTTGCAAAGGCCTATACTTTAAGAATTTAGTTGTATTTTTATCACTTAGCTAGTTATAGAGGTATAAAAGAAAGAATCAAAATCACTGTCTGCCGGTGTAAGGGCCTTCTCGTACTGTGACAGTCTGAGGCCCTGTTCTTAAGCTAAGCCTTTGGCTAAGCAGCAGAGGCAGCCATAAACTGGGAAGTGAATGGCCACATCCTCCCATTCCAAACTAGTCACATTGAAATAAGGCAATCTGGGGCTGTTAGAAAGGTGATCCGATCTATCACTGCCAGAGAAAGGGAAGAGCCTAAAAGATTTAAAGAAAACTTAGTTTGATAGCATCCTGTCTGACAAGAAGTCACTTATCAATAGCTGAGATGTGAAATCCTCATTTCTGTATTGTTCTATCACTGTAGTCTTCACTTCCCTATTGTTTGTCTGTATAATCTCTGTCTGATTCTGTGATTGTTTCTGTCTGCTGTATAATTAATTTTGTTGGGTGTAAACCAATTAAGGTGGTTGGATATAATTGGTTAATTATGTTACAATATGTTAGGATTGGTTAGTTAAATTTCAGTAAAATGATTGGTTAAGGTATAGCTAAGCAGAACTCAAGTTTTACTATATAGTCTGCAGTCAATCAGGAAGTAAACCTTTTGGGAGTACATCCAGGAGAGCTTTATGGAGATGTCCCTGGAGGATTTCCACTCCATCTCCAGACACATTAACAGACTTTTCCAGTAGCTGTACTGGCCGCGAATGCCAGGGCAAAGTAATCATTAAACACGCTTGCTTTTAAACCATGTATAATATTTACAAATGTACACTCACCCAGAGGTCCCTTCTCCGCCTGGTGGGTTCGGGAGGCAGCCTTGGGTGGATTCGGGGGGTACTGACTCCAGGCCCAGGGTGAGAAACAGTTCCTGGCTGTCAGGGAAAACGGTTTCTCCGCTTGCTTGCTGTGAGCTATCTTCCTCGTCCCCAAAACCCGCATCCCTGTTGCATGCTACTCCATTGACGGAGTCAAAGCACAGGGGTGGGGTAGTCGTAGGGGCACCTCCTAGAATGGCATGCAGCTCATCATAGAAGCGGCATGTCTGGGGCTCTGACCCGGAGCGGCCATTTGCCTCTCTAGTTTTTTGGTAGGCTTGCCTCAGCTCCTTAAGTTTCATGTGGCACTGCTGCGGGTCCCTGGTATAGCCTCTGTCCTTCATGCTCTTGGAGATTTTTTCAAATGTTTGGGCATTTCATCTTTTGGAACGGAGTTCTGATAGCATGGATTCATCTCCCCATACAGTGATCAGATCTCATACCTCCCGTTCGGTCCATGCTGGGGCTCTTTTGCGATTCTGGGACTCCATCATGGTCACCTTTGCTGATGAGATCTGCACTCACCTGCAGATTGCCACACTGGCCAAACAGGAAATGAGATTCAAAAGTTCGCGGGCCTTTTCCTGTCTACCTGGCCAGTGCATCTGAGTTGAGAGCGCTGTCCAGAGCGGTCAGAATGGAGCACTCCGGGATAGCTCCTGGAGGCCAATACCGTCGAATTGCGACCATACTATCCCACACTACCCCAAATTCGACCCGGCAAGGTCGATTTCAGCGCTAATCCCCTTGTCGGAGGAGTACAGAAATCGATTTTAAGAGCCCTTTAAGTCAGAAAAAACGGCTTTGTCGTGTGGACGGGTGCAGGGTTAAATCGATATAACGCTGCTAAATTCAACCTAAACTCGTAGTGTAGACCAGGGCTAAGTGTGAATATTTCTCATGTTATCGCTAGTAAATTATTCTCCAACACAACTAAAATGCAGCCTAAGCTGAATCTTTGACTTATGCAATAGGAACTAGAGCTATCATTGAAAAGTAAGTATAGAATGAGAACATTAATATATGATACCTGTGTTTTGTTTTGTTTTTTGCAGCTGGTGCTGGAGTGCCCTACCCAGTCAATCAACCCCCCTACAATCCTGCTTACATGGACCCTCAGAAGCCCATCTATTGAATGGATTTTCTATTATGTCTCTGTGCATAACTTTTTTGTAAAGTATAACATGCTGTTTACACCATACAGCTGTAGCACATTTTCTTAAAATGCAGCAGTCCCTCGTTTCTCTGTAAAGAGAGAAATCTAAATCAGTAGCTTTTTAAAATACACTGAGCTCAGCAAGCAAAATAATTTATCACTTGAAGTTCACTCCATACCTCAAGCAAATACAATAGGAGAACTTGTTCAAATTCCAGTGACAAAAGGGTGAAAAGGGAATAGTTCAGATACAAGAAGCATGGTAATGTGTTTTGTGCAATAATTTGAAGGGTGTTAGAAAAGAATGATCAGAAATAAGTTAAACAGTCGTAAGCACCCAAAGCTGTAGCATTCATCTGCATATTATTAAAATATAAACCTAATTGTCAGAAAACTTTTACTAAAATTTGATCTTCCTGTTTTCAAGTTAACATGATGAATTAAGCTACACTTAACTTAGTGATTTTTAAAGGGAAATTTCCTTTGCTGGAATATAATTGTGTTCAGAAAGGGATAGTGGAACATGTTCTAATAGCTTTTTTCCACACTGGTTGCATTTATTTTGTGCCCAACAGGCAGGGGGTTGATCTATTCCTTTCCGATTTTAAAGCTAAAAACATGTCAAGTCACTAGGTGTCTTTTCACTTCCTTTATTTAATTCTCTCTTATCCCTGGCAAAAAACAAACCAACCCTCCACTGTTCAATTAAATAAACATGTCAAAAAGCTGAAAACCTAAGAGTGCTGCATGAGAACAATTGGATGAGAATTTGTTTGCTTCATCATTGCAAGTTTTGACTACGTTTTGATATTGCAAAAAAACATTTCACCTTGACCGAACCATGCATTGTCCCTGTGATGAAAATACTGCTTCTCAAACTTGCAGAAGAGCAGTCTGACCCAGTTATAAATCCTGCTCACTCACGTGTGCAGTAGCTAATTTTAAGAGAAATGGAGATGTACCCCATGTGCCTGCCAGCAAGATCAAGCCCTGGACATCCTGAGTGTGTTTTTACGCTAAGACAGGAACTTTATAAGGAAGATAACCTCTTTCAATAAAATTAAATATTGACTTCAAAAATACTGGGGGGAAAAAATCTCAACATGCTGTATAGCAAAGACCAAATCCTGCTATCCTTCCAATTTCCACTGAGTGTAATGGGAGTTTGGACTAAGTAAAGATGGCAGGATTTGGACCCAGAGATGCAAAGGAGCTTACTTTGGGGAGACTTGCACATGTACAGGGGGAAAAATTGTCTATCATAAAAGCTTTGTGTTAAAATGTTGACTTTTATAACCCATTATAATTGTGACCAATCACGGCATTACTTTCCATTTTAAAGCTTGTATTTACCAAACTAGTCACGATTTTAGACACACTGCACAATCTGATTTTTAAAAACCCTCAACAACTCTTCTCTAAAATTGAAATAGGCTTTTATTGTCCAGTGATGAAGCTAATCAGTTAACTATTACTTCAGTGCAGCTGAACTGATGGAATATTATGACATTACTCTCATTCTGGTTTCATTTGTTTAGAGATGTTTACAAGCTGCTTGTTTTTGGGTCCTGTACTTGTGATAGGTTAAAAATATATATATATCTCAAGTTTGTTTGTACAGACATGATCTTGTCACTGATAGTGTTGTTTATCTTGCCTGTATCTGCAGAATGACCGTGACTGAAACTAACTTTCAAAAACAGCTTTGTCCATAGTATCAGACAGTGGGAATAGAAATTAAAAGGCAGTCTATGCCTGGATTTTTCAACCTTTGTTTGAGATGGTCTTCAGGGAATTTCACAAACTTTCAGCAGTTGTCCAGCATTCTGATAGGAGACCCCGTGTCTGCCTTGCTACATAGCACCAAGGGGAGCACTTGTGCTAATAACATTAAATGGGTCCATGAAACAGGCACAAAGGGGGAGTTGTTATATGGTGCATTTTCTTCCCTGCTTCGCAACCAGAAGATGGGGTAGCACCTCACTGTAAATACTGCACTTTTGGAGCTGTGTGGGAACAGCTGGAGAGGGAGAGGTAGACAAGCTGAGGAGTTTCTGCTGTGGTATGTTCCCCTAGAAATCCTGTATGTCTTATTTTCTGAAGTGTTTTCTGGCATAATTCCTTTTCTGTAGCTTCTACCTGTGTGGGTGGCTGGACAATTAGGAGTGCAGAGGCGCAGTAGAGGGGACCAAGATCATCACAGCAACCAGATTAGACAGCTGCCAGGGTAGAGGCTGAACAGAAAGGGGCAGCTGTTCAGCACAGATGACCTGAGGTCCTCAGAGTTGGGGCTGGGATTTTCCATAGTAGTTTGGTTCTGTGTGATTACAAAGCTGTGGCCTCTGCATTTTTGTCCTTTCTTCTGCTTAAAGTGGTAACTTCATTGAGTTGCGGTACCACAGTGTGGTACAGTTTGGGACATAACTATTCCTCTTGGGTTTCCCATTTAAGGGGAGAGCATGGCACAAGGTGAACTTTGTGTGTAGGCATATACCCTGCCCATGTGACTTACAATCCCATAGCCCTGAGAAAATGGTCCCTATAAGAAGGATCCATAGTAGAGCTATTATAGACCAGATTCTGTACAATGGACATTTAGGATAATTTCAGGATGGTGAGAGAGACCTGCTATCCTAGGAGAGGAGGATCTCGTGTGATTAGGGGTAGGATAGGAACTGCATGTGTGGTATCCTTTCCTCACTGTGTATATGTTAATGGGAGCTGTGTGTTAGTAATGAAGAATTGCTTAATGAATTAATTACCCCTGGAGCTGGACAGGGTGAAGGAGGAGGAAATGGGTGCAGATTTGTACATTTTTCTGTTTCATAGTGGAAGTACTTAACTCAGTTTCTCATTCTTAGTGTATAGTGAATATTAATCATAGCTAAAAGATTGACATTGGACCAAAATCTGTTGTTCCCATGTAACCCAGTGAATTCTGTTTCTATGTAACTCCTGTAGTTATGTTAATGGTGGGTGTAATTAAGAGCAGAAATTGGCCCATGAAGTCTTATTTTATGCATTGATAACATGTTAGTCAAAAGTAGCTTATACATTGCAAATGTAAAACTGATAGTGTTAAGGGAAAAGGGGAATGGAATTCAAACTTTACATGTTTCAAAAGTTGTGTTTGTTTTTATAAACTCTAAGTGCCTTTATTTCGAAAACAGTCTAGTGATTTAAATACAGTAGAATATTCTGTTGTACTAATTTACCATATAATTCTTAGGTTTTTTTCTCAATTATAACCTTGCTTTGTAAGTAGTTTGTAGTTACACGTGAGAAGTATTCAGAAGAACTGGAATAAAGTCTGTACATCTATTTATAATAAATGGAAATGTCTGAAGTATAGTGTCCATTTTGTTTTCATATTACTTTGAAAGCTGTCACATTTAGAAGTATGCATGGTTAGCTACATGTTGCTCCAGTGTGTTTGACAGTTCTAACATTTGTATTTCTAGTCATCTTGTATGGTGAATATATTGCTCATGGTTGCTGCCACTTCAGACTTACTTTTTAGACAAAAATGGACATGGTGGGGCAGGCCAAACTTCTCTGCTACCTTGACAATATTGTTCAAACCTAATCTAAAAGGATCATCTGTAAAGCGTTATCTGGATTAGGATTAAAAAGTGTGATATTAGAATGCATTAGCCAACACATTCCAACACTTTGGGAAAGTCTAGTATAGACAATGGAGTATACACTTAAACACACATTAAACTGATTGATTAAAGCTGATGCACCCCCATGCTTCAACTTGACCAATGTAGCATGTGTCAAGAGCAGTGTGCTTTCTCTTCCATGTTAAAACATTTGAGCTAACACACCTTTTACTCTAGTGTAAACAAGGCATAGTAGTAAGCTTTTCTGATTCTGCCTAGAAGAGCATATATCTGTCCAAATGAGGTGGTGATTTTGTAATATGGATACTGTGTACTAAAAATTGAATTTAGACTTCCCACTCATTTCATATAGGTTACTGAGAAGTCTTAAGTTAATGGGACACAGAACCCTTCAGTTATTATTAGAATATTGAACTATCAGGCTCCCCTTAATCTCTAATTTTAAAAAATTTGCTTTTAGGTAGGCATTTATTTACCTTGGAATAATCAGGAGTATTACACTGATCTCATTCCACCTTGAATGTAGCAATCTTTTGTATATACACCTCTACCTCGATATAACACTGTCCTCGGGAGCCAAAAAATCTTACCGCGTTATAGGTGAAACCGCGTTATATTGAACTTGCTTTGATCCACCGGAGTGCGCAGCCCCGCCCCACACCGCAGCACTGCTTTACCGCGTTATATCCAAATTCGTGTTCTATCGGGTAGAGGTGTAATTTGATAATTAGTGTACACATGAAGTGTAGAAACTTTTTCACACTGTCCTCTCAACTAAATTGCTCTTGACGTATTAGACAGTCAGTAGATATGTACAGTCCAGTCCCAAAATTAATCAGACTGCAGGTAGCTAGTGTCATTCTTGTTTTGTAAACTAACGTCTAGGCTGGAAACTGTATCTGGATCTACTGAGATTGTAATAAATCAGTAAATTCAACCAATTTTCTGTCAACCACTTACCTACCAAGTCATATCTGATGCTTTTCTTCCTAACTCCTTTCCTTCATCTATTTTTTTCATAATTTTACAGTGGTTCTCTCTTTTGCCACATGACCAAAATTTGAAAGGAACGGGTGCTACTCAGATGGCCTCCATGCATGGAACTAGAAGGCAGGACCTGGTCCTTGGTTTATAAACTCTCACTGTCTTCCCTGACAGCAGTTCATTGTTTCAAAGAACCGTGACCTTTTAAAATGGATAAGCAGAATATTGTATAAAGGAGGAACACCTTGCTTCCAAATATGTTAGCCTCAAATATTGAAGGAGAAAGGTGAGGCATGTTGCACTTTTCACCATGTTGAAAGAGAAAGGTGAGGCTCTCATAATTTTAAGCAACTGTTCCTTGTATTACACTCTGCATTAATTTTCCCATGGAAGAAGTTGGCACACATCTCAAAATCCATGGATGGGGAGAATGGGACACTGAGGTGAAAAATCAGAGAAGCTATGCCAAACAAGCAGTTCTCTCCTATTTTCCCCAATGTGGAAAGTTAGTATCAAAACTTGGTATATAAAATAACTTGTCAGTTTAAATTAGGCTGTGAGCTAGAGTCTGTTCCTCTCAAATCATGTCTGGTAAGTAGGGATACACCCTACCTCACAAAGTCTCACTGTTTAAACAGTTTGAGTTCCTTGGAAAAAAAGACACTAAAATTAAGCACACTGGAAACCAGCTAGTGCAGATAACAGGAGTAAAAGTCTGTGACACTGCACCCCATATTGTATGATGATATGGTAATTATGATGCATCTAGTACAAGATGGAGCTTGTGAGGTGTCATTGGAAAAGTTATGATTTGCTGAATGATTTTTATTTGTGTGCATGTATCAAGTTATGAATATTGACAATCAGTATTTCAAATGTAGTTACACCTGGGTAATACCCACTAGGCAAGATGCTTCCAGTCTAGACAGCTGGTTACCATGAAGGCTCTATTCAAGGTAATGGGCCATTAAGGGAAACAATAGGAGAAGCTTATCCCCCACCTGGTGAGCCTTCATGAGAACGCTCCAGACAACCCCTGAGTAATTGGTTGCTGTGATTCAGCAAGTGCATGTGACCAGACCACATGACACTGAACTCCATTTTGGTACCTGTACTTTTCCACAAGCTGAACTTGGAACTGAGTTTGGAACTAGGGTGACCAGATGTCCCGATTTTATAGGGACAGTCCTGATTTTTGGGTTTTTGTTATATAGGCTCCTATTACCCCCTCACCCTGTCCTGATTTTTCACATTTGCTGTCTGGTCACCCTATTTGGAAAAAAGGGTTCCCACCATATGGAAAAGCTATATAAGGTGGGGTGTGATATCTCTGGGACTCACTCCCCACACAAAAAAAACTCCTGGAAACACCTGAGGAACAATAACTGAACTGGAGGAAGTGCTGGTTCTTGGCTAAAGGAATTTCTAGCCTGTGTAGGGAAACTTGGTGGACTGCTTGTATCATGAGTCAGGGTGAGAAACTGCTAATTCAGATCCTATCCATCTAGTATGTTAGGCTTAGTTTGCGTTTTTGTTTAGTTGCTAGGTAATCTACTTTGCTCTGTTGGCTATCACTTAAAATCTACTTTTCTGTAGTTAATAAACTTGTTTTAAGCTTTATCTAAACCAGTCTGCCTTTAAGTGAGATGTCTGGGGGAAATCTCAGCTCTGTGAGCAACGGTTGTTGCATATCTTTTCCACATTTAGGGGAAGGTGAACTTTATTAATGAACTTATCTTGTACAGCTCCCTGTGCAGTGTAAGATTATATAATTCTGGGTTTATACTCTGGGGGGCTGGGAAATTGGCTTTGTCGGTCTTTGAGTGGCTTAGAGTAAAGCACTCAGGTAATGCAGTGGGGTGTGTGGTGCCACCTGCTGTCATGTTGGGTGATGAGGGCCTGGTGAGGCTGGCTGTATCTCCAACAAAGCAGTGTGAGCAGGGCCATCCCAGCTGGGTGGTTAAAGGGGCAAAGTGGTTCCTATTGCTCCCAGACTGCACCCT